ATGACAAAAGAGGATGTGAAAATATATGGAGCAATACAAAATTTTCAAGTATTCTATCATTATGTTTTTAGTGTAGAGTAATGTTGCACTTGTATAACTTCCTTCCATGTTCATTCTCTGTCCTGTATGTGAATTATTTCTTTACTAATTACTTGCTTCAATACATAGTAAAATGTTTAATTTGTTGGATTATCACTTTATTATTTGGACTGTCTTGCTTATTAAAGTAGTTATCTCTTATTCCATTGCTGCTTATGTGCCTAACACGAAAATCAATGAAATTGTTGAAGTCTTAGTTCAATTCTGTATGCAAGTCCATGGATGATATGAACTATTCAAACCAGACTCTTGAACAATGAACAATCAACACAAGGATTGGATTGATGATAAAACCAGTGCGCTAAAAAGCAGTGCCTAGTTGCAAAGTGGATGCAAAAAGCCTCGTCTCATGCTTTTTTTTTTTTTATTTTACTTTTTCTTGCCTAGTCATGCCGTTTTTTTTTTCCTTACACTTTTACGCTTTACATCTTTTTTTTTTCTTTTAATTATTAAAATAATATTAAAGTGAAAAAAAAACTTTTTTACACCTAGGCTGAAGCCTTCCCACTTCATCACGCTTTACACTTTTTAAAACACTGAATAAAAACTGAATCTTGGGTCAAAGAAGGCTGGACAAGGAAATTAGAGCTCTTTGAGAAGGCTTACAGTCAGCTATCCTTGTTAGATTAAATTCGTGAAGAACAGGAAAGGGTCAACAAGATTCTGAATAGTAACATAAGGAGACTGCAATTGAAGAAGTCGAGACAAATTTGATCATCTCGATATATGGAAACCTAAGCTTACTGTAATTGAAGGAGCTAGTGACAAGAAACAGATGGATCCAAAATGTGGTTGAGAAAAGGAAAAACACTTTATCGTCAAGTGTCTTGTCTAGTCAAAATAAATCGAAAAGGAAGAAGAGAGAGGAGCTTCAAAAACGCTACAAAAAACGTTTTAACAACTTATACATGGGTGGCATATTGGGTAAGTAGTTGATCGACTAAATTTTAGCTTCTTTTTTGTAAAATTCTTCCAGGCAATTCTGATGTGGAGGATTCAACAGATGAAACTACAAATATTCTATTGAGGTGGGCTACAGGTACAACCTAAGCTCACTACCAAGCATAATAACTACGACTTGCAAAATACCTCTGATGAGTTGCTTCCTCAACTTGAAAAGTTATCCACGAAATACAAGAGCTTAAGAATCAAACCTGTTGATGTAGAAATTGTCTATGCCGTAGCCCGTAAGCTTGAATTATTGAAACCTGAGTTGGTTAATTTTACTAAATTATTATCCAATGCTGCTTACAGCATGTTATGTATACGTCAGTTAATGCTAATATCTTCTTAAAGAGTTTTTTCCACTTTCGTGCATTGACAACATTAATTTCTTTTGTTCTTGAATACTGTCACCAAAATCATATAACCATTTAACTCGATAGTACCCCAAGTCATTGTCATTTAACCTGCAGTGTTATAGTGTGAAGAGACTTGAAAGAATGTCACTATGTCAGTCTTGTAGCCATCATCGGATCAGTTCGGAGTGGCGCACTGTGGCTTCAACTTGAAGAGCTATCATGAGTAAAACTGAGAGTATTCTTTAGCTAATCCACTGAGGGAAAATGTTGCATATCAAATGTTTTATTACTATTTTTTATCCAGACTAATATGGCAATTTGTTTGGTTTTTAACGAAAGGTGACCCTTGAAATTTGGTATCTATAATTATTTGCATTTCTCTCTCTTATTTTGAACTACATTTTTCGATAAAATAATATTACACGCAAATATAAAATTTTTACTTATTTTTTAATCACACATTCTCCATCAAAATACTACTCTAAAATGCATTTTGGACAATAAAATGAGACCAGGCTCATAATTGGTTCAATGATGTTAAAGCCCCTATTTGGTGTCAATTAAAATTTAGATTTTAATTTAAATCAAAGTTAACGATTAATTTTAATTATATATTGCATGGATCTCATAATTTTCAACGACACATTTCATCAATATCTATCAAAATTTACGAAAAATCTTATTTTAATCCCTATCAAACTAAGGCTAAATGTTGTATGGTAATGCTTATGGGGTTTGGACAAAAGTAGTACACTTATACAGTATAATTAGTACCTTAAATAGTTAAAAAATTCTATATTGAGGGTGTGTTTGATGGATATTATTGAGGAAATAATGTATTTTAAATAGTGATATGATGAGAAATATGTGATTAAAAAATAATAAAGAGTTTTTGATGTGATGAAAAATATTGTTTTATTGAAAAATGTGTGATTAAAAATGAGTTTTGAAAGAATGCTTGTCGAACAAAGGCTGATATTGTAAAGTCAACTAGTCACATTTAAGCCCTTGCTTGCGCCTCATTATTTCAAATTTTAATGGGTGGAATTTTTTTTTTTTTTTCAGGGAATGGATGGTTGAAAAAGAAGAAATTTTTTTTAATTTACGTATAATATTATTTTATAAAAAATTGTGTGGTTGAAAATAGAAGAGAGAAAAATAAAATTTAATTTAATGGGGCCGGGGCTAAATAAATATAAGAATGTCAAACTAGTTACGTCGGATCTTGCCTAGGCATGACTCATGTACTTGGTGTGCTGGGCCAAACCAGTGGGCTAAAGTAAATAAATATTATTATTCAAAATTTACAGTAATTTTTTAGAATGATTTTATTCTAAATTTACTCTAATATTAATAAATAAAAATAAAAAGGCAAAATGTGGAATTTTGTCCTAGACGAGGCAACCTGTACGGGTCATGAGCCTTGGAACCATGGCATCAGGCTAGACCACAATATGGCCACTGCTGATCCTACCAAACCATATCCATATCGAAGTAAGACGCCACGTTTAGCTCTTAAAACAACTCAACCTATATTAAACCATCGTTCTAATCTATCATCGAACCATTGGAAATACGGAGTTCTTTTTTATTTAGATAAAAATTAAATTTTTTAGTAAATTTTGATAAAAAGTGATGAAATATATAGTTGAAAAGTTGTGAATTTCATAAAATGTATGGTTAAAATAAATAGTTGATTTTAACTTAAAATTTAATCTACTTTTGAAGTTTAACCAAACAGGAGCCAAGGATATTCTTTCCAAGATCTCCCAAGAAGCATACAAAAAACAGGGGGAAAAAATGGAAGCTTCTTGAAAAACAGAAAATATGATCTCTTAACTATCATTTTCATGGTATGTTGGAAACTGCTGGATATTATCTTATCTTGAAAAATCTTGTGCCTACAATTTCAACGGGTCATCCATAATCTTTATTGCTTTCTGATCATGACCTCAGCTGTCACTAGAGATACATGTAACTCCACCGCCACAATATACTCATATATATGAATACTAAGATTATATTCAGAATATAAACTGTATTCTGCATCAAATTCTACTTCCAAAATAGAAAGAAAAAGAGGCTCCACAGAAAAAAAAGGAAAAAAAAAAAAAAGGGTAGTTTTGAAGAGGAGAATCTGTATCAGATGGTTAATGATTTTCGTAAAACAAATACAATACCAGCCCTTGTATCTTCTGCCCCACAAAGCAAGACTCTCAGTGGTCATCATACTAAATATTACATCTTGCAGGTATATTTGTGTTATAAAACAACCAAGATATCAGAATTGCTCTTATACCAATTGTTGTGAAACAAACCACTGGATTGAGATGTTGAAGTTATATGGAAAATAATAATGAAATATATGATCAAACAAAAGAATAATAAAGACAAGAATATGACAGAAGAATTANTTATTGACTTAAGAATAATGGAGAAAATAGAAAAATTACAATAGATCCTATAATTCTAGCAATCTATTTTCTCACACCATAAAATTGTATAAAAGAGCCTAATATTTATAGGGAACATGTAGGGGATGTCCAAACCCTCCAATTAGAATTGTTGATAAAGTAGTATACCAAAAAATCAAGTCCAAAACAAATTACAACTCCCAATGGGCTTTCAAAATAGAATTTCAATTTAACATGATACTCTAATAGTATTTCAAACTGAATTCTTTTTTATGTGTACTTCAATTAGAATTCTTCAACTACTTCAACAAGAAATTCGGGTCACACTTAAATTCTAACAATCTCCACCTTGACACGAATTCTACCAATGAATGAATTGACTTCTTCAACAATAATCAAAAAATTAATTTCTCCAACAAAACACAATACCATACTTCTTCCAATAAATTCAAGCACTACTCTGTAGAATTATTTCAGATCCCAAAAAATCATAATGATTTTATAATTTACCAAAATAGGCTGTAACACACCCCAAAGCAGAATTAAACTCAAATATTTTTAAAGAAGACCCATTGCTAGATTGTACACCTTCTACTCCACTTAAAGCATGCTCAACAAAATCAGCATCCACATACCATTTTCCATTGAGTCCGTTCCTAGTAATTGAATACAATGGCACCGCAGGTGATGGTGGCAAGCGGTATTATCCATATCTCCTGAACTTTACTGAACTATATTCTTCAAATATGACCTTTTACGAGTTCCTAAAGGTATTGTACCAAACTGAATGTCTACCACGGTACTGAACTTGTGTTGATTGACTCTTCTAAATTCTACACGACCCTACAAGATATATAATTGAGACATTTTCTGTATCTCCAATACAATTTGGGCACCCTTACAAACTTTCAATACTCCACATCCATCAAAGAACACATAACCTTTTGAATCAAAGATAGACAACGAGATTAAATTTTTCTTCAAATCTGGAACATGTCGAACCTGGCCAAATGTTCTAATTGTTCTATCCAAAAGCTTCAATTTGACCGTACCAATTCCAGTAACCCGACAAGATGCGTTGTTTCCCATAACTACGACACCTTTGGAAACAGTTGCATATGTAGTAAACAAGTCTTTATTGGGACACATATGAAACACACATACTGAATCAAGAATCCAATCATCTTTCGGTTTAGCCTCAATGCTAGAAATAACTAAGAGATCTCCACAACTTACAACGTTCTCTGCGATGTCTGTTTCGCCTGAAATATCCGATCGCTTCCCATATGTACTTGCAGCCAACCTTTCTTTATTTTGCAATTTGTAGCAATCCCTTTTCAAGTGCCTCTTCTTCTTGCAGTAGTTACAAATCTTGATTATTGAACTTAGATTTCGATCTGCTCCTTCCAGAACTACCACAAGCCTTCTCCATCTCTGGCTTCAGAAACCTGATGCCTCATCTTCTCTTTTGAATACAAAGCATCATACACTTCCTCTATGGTGAGAGTATCACGACTATACAAGATCATGTCTCTAAACGAAGAAAACGAAGCGGGTAATGAACACAATAGGATCAAGGTCAAATCTTCTTCATCATACTCTATTTCCAAAGTTTTCAAATCAGTGACGATCTCTTTAAATACAGTCAGGTGATCTACCAATGATCATCATTTTGTCATTCGATGAGAGTACAAACGCTGCTTGAAGTTCAACTTTCTTGTCAGACTTTTAGTCATGCACAATTGCTTCAACCTCAACCATAAAGCAGCTGTTGAATTCTCCTTCAAAATGTTCTGAAGAATAGTGTTTGATAGATGAAGATGAATGTGAGAAACTGTCTTCTTATCCTTCCCTAATTTCTCCTCCGCAGTCAAAGTTGTAGACATCTTGTCAATTCTCAGCAACGCATTATCCAAATTCAACTATGCAAGTACCGCACGCATCTTAACCTGCTATAGCGAAAATCTAGTGTTCCGATCCAAAAGCGGAATGTCATACTTCATGGAAGCTATCGCAAACAAAAACTTCGAATAAATCAACCATGCTCTTGCGGAACTGCTGAACCTAAGCTCTGATACCACTTGTTGTAAAACAACCAAGATACCAGAATTGCTCTGATACCAATTATTGTGAAATAAACCACTGGATTGAGATGTTGAAGTTATGTGACAAATAATAATGAAATATATGATCAAACAAAAGAATAATAAAGACAAGTATATGATAGAGGAATTAAGAGATTTGTTGACTCAAAAATAATGGAGAAGAGGGAAAACTTATAAGAGATCCTATAATTTTAGTAATATATTTTCTCACACCATAAAATTGTATAGAAGAGCCTAGTATTTATATGGAACATGTGGGGGATGTCCAAACCCTCATAGTAGAATTGTTGATGAAGTAGAATACCAAAAATCAAGTCCAAAACAAATTTCAACTNAGAACTTCAACTTGACATAGAACTTTAATAGCATTCCGAATTGAATTCTTCTTGATGTATACTTCAATTAGAATTTTTCAATTACTTCAACAAGGAATTCAAGTCCATCCAAATTTTAACAATTTGAATATCACATATTATAATTTTGATGTTGAGATTAATATATTCTACCATCCTGTACTTTTTTATAGGAGATACTTGAAAGTGGGAATATTGCAGAAACCGATGTTCTTGGGAGTGTGATGAAGCATATGAGAAATAAAATTGATGGTGAAAGGAGTACTACTGCACTGAAGAATTGGCTGATCAAGATGTTGAGAATTGATGGCCATAATGCAGCTCTATGTCACACCACTTGGCCTACTACTTTAGATTGTCTTGGTGGTAATTACTACATCACTTGAAACCTATACTACCTTCGTTATAATTTGTGGTATGTGTTATCAAATTAGCCGACCCTAAAATAGTATGAACCACCGAACTACCTGATTTAAAAGTTTTTGTTAGAGTTAGAAACTGAGCCAGCACCCGGTGACTAGGCGGTTTCCCGTGCTCGTTCCGTCTGAATTTTTTTTCCCATTTATTGAGTGGCGCTCGATGGCCTCGCATTCTCGTCTGGATCCACCCTAACTCACTCGAATTCCTGGATCTGCCACCGATTAGAGATGGTATCTATTTATTTAGTTGTAGTCTTCTAACGCTTCTGGATTCATTTTTAAATCAAAGGCTTTATGCATGTACAATTTTCATAAATGGGTGGCTGCAAGACTTAAAACTTATTAATATTTAGCCAGTTTGATATCATGTTGAGCTATTAGAGGTGATTCAACATTACTTCAACATTATATCAGAGCTAACATATATAGGTATTGGATTTACCCGTTTGTATATATTGTAGTGTTAGGCTTTCGATTAAAACCTGTACGTGAAGGACATGTTGGAGACATAATTCAAATTAGTACACTTTTTCCCTCCATAATAGCATAAGCTGAGGAAATGGTTCGATCAAGGCTAAGTTCGTCCATTGTATTGAACAAACTGCACTATTTTGGCATATTCTAATGTTGTTTCAGTTGTTGTATGAATAAAATGTGTCGTGCTTTGGAATGTCTTAAACACGTGATTACGAATACATTGAAATTATATCAGAAGATAAAAATGGTTGTGCAATGAGGGTATAATAGTAGATACAGATTTCAAGTCACAGTTTGAATTGGCAAGGCCCACATCAACTTTCAAAGATCTCTCCAACATGATGCCATCAATCTTCGTCGGGACGGAACAAAAGCTGACGAAAATTATTAGCATTCTTTGTGCAGAAGCCACAGATTCATTTCTTGAAAGAGGTCTCCATGTACCTCTGTGGAGGACAAGCACTCACATGCAGTCCAAATGGTTTTCTGCCTGTCAAAAAGGGATATAATTTCCCAGCAGAAGAGAAATTGGCAAAAAAAAAAAAAAGAAGAGGAAGAACTAGAGAAGAGTTGGTGGCATCGTTCCCTCTAAAACTTCAACAATTTTGTAAAATTAATTGGTTTCCTCTTAAAATATCCAAGGCAGTGTTTGCATGGAGAAAAACTAGTATTAAAGAATAGGATGTTGCTGTTGTTTCTTTTCGTCAATTTAGTTTCTAACTACGTAACAATTTATTTTAGGGATAATTGCAGC